GAAATGGAAAGAGCTGCGGAAGAGCTGGACCTGGTTGTCCCACAGCAGCACGGCCAGCAGACTCCCCTCGCTGGCTGCTTGGGGCGTCCCAGGCCCCACGCGATCCATGAGGACAGACTCCAGCAGGGCACGGGCGGGAAGAGGGGTAGGGGCCTTGGGAGAGACCAGGCTGTTTGCTATGGACCCAAACAGGCCCAAGTCTTCTGCCCTCAGGGATCTGCCAAAGCCAAAAGCAAATATCTCAGTTAAGCATTTGCAGGAGGAACTGCAAGCTTATTTTTGAAATGACATGAAGGGGATTATTCTCCCACCTCCTGCTGTAAACTGAGGTGAGAAGGTCACAGTGAACCCGGTATTACAGCTTTTTTTTATTTTCCACTTCATTTTTTTTCCGTACCACACCAGCAGGCCAGCTTTTCTTTCAGCATTTTCTTTGATTAAGCAAAGAAATTAAACTTCATTCTGTGGCATTCTGCCACCCTCAAGCACAGAGCTGTACAACTGAAATTCAGTAGCTGTGATAAAAGAGCAGGCACTCCTGCAGAAATAAATAGAGAGGGTGGTGTCCACATGCCTGCCTCCTAGCTGCTGCATGTTATGTAGGCAAATCTGCGTTGGAAACTGTGACAGCTCTCTTTGCGTGGATACATCCCCTGATTTTGATTCCATAAGCACAAGATTGTGATAAGATTGTCTAATATGGTCTCAACTTACACAGAGAAAAAAAGAGTTTTCTGAACATTTAAAGGGAAATTCTAAATATGAACTAAAGCAATGCTGCCTTCTTTTGTCTGCAGAGCCGCCAGTGTCCAAGATGTTCTGCAGGTGCATCCAGGTGACCTTCAAATATCAAGTATTTTCTACCTACCCCAAGGCCTCCCCACTACTCTTTGTTGCTGGATTGATGGTAGTATTACTCCGAGGGAGGTTAGCAGGGAGAACTGCAGGGGACAGCAAGTCTTGAATAGCCCCAGTGCGCTGATAAAACTCGGTTGGATGGAATGGGAGAGCAATACGGCTCATCGTGGCTCTGAATTGCCAAGGCTTACACAGCTCTGCCAGCATGAGATGGACATGTTCGTGTGGAGGAGAAGCAGGGGTGTCCTGCAGTACCTCCCTCCGGTGCTGCGAGCCCTCATGGCTGGGCCCACAAAGCTGCTCTGACCACACGCAGCAGTGCGGGCCGCCAGGCCTGGCTCCAGGGCTATACCCACGGCCGGCCCGTTGCTATTAAAAGCTGTGACAACATCAGCCGTGCCTGAGACGGATTGTTTTCGGTGTCGTTTCCTGAGGAAACGGGGCTTATCTGTTGATTCCCCAAACAAGTTTAACTCTGGTATTTGATACAGGTGCCAAGGTCCCCAAGCTATGAAGGTCCTATCAGTGGCTGGTACCGAGAGTCTAAATTATGAATGTCCTTGGTATGGAAAAGGCAAACAGAGTCCTGTTGTCCTACGTTGCTTTGGCACCTTACCTTGGCTTTTGGCAAGTATGTTGGCTGTTCAGGCAGCCATGCCATGAACCATCTTTTGTCTGTGCTGGGTGGCCTAAGAGCTGCAACATGGAAGCGGGCAGGGCTGGGACGGAGGGGGTACTTAGACAGCACAGAGGGCAAGGCTGAGGGAGCCAGGCTGCTTAGTTCCCATACTTGTGGGACAACTGGTTTTGAGGTGTCTTGGTTTCATTCATTCTTCCGGAAATCTGGACTTTATGCTTTTAAACTCATTTCTGATGGCGTATTTGGGTTTTCATTCTTCACTCCGTAGGACCTGCTGCCACCTTAAAGCATAAGGTACCTCATGCATCGCTGGTGCCCCACACCTTGCCCAGCTTGCCCCGGGAAGCAGGGCGGGCTGGGCAGGCAGTAACTGCCCGGGCACAAAGCCCAGGCCCAGCTTGGCTTGCTGGAAGCCAGGGTCAGGATCTGCCCCTCGACGGCAGCTGGCGAGATCAGTACAGGGCTGTGGCAACACCAGGAGGAGGCACTGGCTTGGGGAAGCAGGAGAGCGAGAGGGACAGCGGGCCAGGGTCTTGACGAGGTGAAGTGGTACAGCAGAAAGGCCACGGCGTGCAAGTGAAAGCAGGCGGTGTGAACAGAAGATGGTTCTGAGGATAGTTACCACCCCCGCAGCTTGCTCTTGTTTGCACACGAGCTGTAATTCTTTATGGAATTGGCTATTTTAGCATCTGTCTCGGTAGACACTTTGCAATAAGCTCATTCCATTAGTTTTTGTTATCCAAAGCTATATCCCTCTGTTTTCACAGAGACTGCAATATCCCTTCTTTACACTTATCCTGAGAGAGCTTCTGTGGATTGCAGAACCAGAAGTCTCCTGCTGTACTCTGAAATGTCTCATATTCACTGGAAGGAAAATTCGCATGTTATAAACTTAGAAAAAAAAAAACAAACAGAAAAAAAACCCACTTCTCTAATCTTTTAAAACTTCCTTATTGGTCAGAGATACAAAGAGTTTGAAATGCCACGTGATTTATTAAATTTAGAAACTTGAAGACAGGCCACAAGAATTACACGTCGTAACTGCACATTAATAACAAAAGTGAAGCCATTTTAGCTGGAATTACATTCACCTGAGCTACTTGCCGAGCAAACCACTGGGTATGAGAGCAAAGTGGAATCAGCCCATTTTCAAGCATGCACTAGAAAGCAAAAATGAAGAAACATTTCTATGAATTCCTGGAGTTTCAGATTCCTGTAATTACATCGTAAACCATGTAAATGTGGGCATTTTAGCTACACTAACATTTTCGATCAATGATCTAGAGTAATAAAGCCTGGCAGGCATGTGTGGGTAGTGTGGAGGAAGAGGGGGTTCAAGGGATGGAACTGTTTAGCCAGGACGTTTTTAGATTAATTTATCATTCACCTGTAACAACATATGCCTTTTGCAGGAATCCTTTCAAACTGAAAGGCTTTTAAAGCTTATTAAACTCTTCCGGGCAGCATGTAATTAAAATTAAAGGCATATCTGAAGCCAACTCACAGCAAGATTTTAACATGGAAAGGTTTGTCAATAAGGATAGTAGTCTGGACATACAGTTTTATTGAGTATTTGGTGGTGAAAGCCCCTTGCTGAATCATCTAAAGAGAAGTTAACAGTTGTAAAAACAGAAATCTGTGTACTAAAAAACATGTCATTTAAAAGTAAAAAAAAACAGTAAGAATATTTTTCAGAGATACAAACGGGAAGTACATACGTTATTCTAAGATGATTTGGAGGCCATTCGTAATCTCTCTTAACACTTAATAAGTGGCACTTATATTTATTAAATTGGCTAAATTCCAATCAGATAATGAAGATGAAATGTTTCACTCTGTTAAATGTACAGATAACAAAGCCAGAAAATCATAGAGAGTCAGAGGATACAAACATAGATATACAGGCACCCGTGAAAAAACTCAAAAAGGATAAGAACCATTACTTTTATTTCACTGGCTGATTCAGCACAGAGGAATTACTGCATTTTCCTTGACATTAGATTACAGAAGATCAGTAACAGACCAAAGGTATCCACTGTCTTCTCCCCTGCTCCATCAGCTGCTTCTCTTCTGTGTTGCTGCAGCGCTGCTGTGTCTCAAACACGGTGCTTTGCCACACACCCTCCCCACGCAAGAAAAACACTGAGTTCCATAAAGGCAAAGGGAAGAGAGAAAAGCAGGTAATTCTGTGCCAATACATAGAAATAAAAAATTCAAGTTGAAGCCACTATGGATAAGTGACCTTTAAATGGTCCTCTTGAAATACTTGCTGGTTTAATTCAACAGATCCTGTATGGCATGAAACTTGAAATAGGTTTACTAAACACCTATCTCAAAAAGAAAAAAAAGAAAAAGATTTCAGTCTTTTTCAGAAACCTGAGGAGATGACAAACTCTCCTGTTAAATATATACAAATTATCACCTCAAGGTGATCAGTCCATATCTTAGTAAATGCCCCTAAGTTTTTTTTTCTTATTTTCATTATAAAATAACTTATATTTTTCCCTTCGGAGGATTACAGCTTAGTGTTCACAAATTTGAAAATATTTTATGCTACACAAAGATAAAACCTAATAATACAAAAATATAAAAATGTCAAAATCATCACACTGTTATTGAAAAGTGTACTACAGTTAACCTGCAGATCAGAGGTGCTTCGCTCCTGGATACGATTTCCATGATTAACTCCTCAACAAAGAATTTCATCTTCTTAATCAGTTAAATGAGAAATCTTTCATCCACCAAGGTTTTGGATGCCAAATTCTTCTGTCCAACTGTATTACGAATAAACCTAAATATCTAAGAATATTGTAGAAATATTGTATTAAAAGTAGGATATTTAAAATGCCATGTTTCAATTATCTAACATAAAAATAATAAATTCATATGATCTTGAATTCATTGACATGTTATTTATGATTTAGATGGTTAGCTCCTTTAGTAACTTTGAAACATTTTTCACCCTGAAATATTAGTTAACTAACTGTGATTAACTTTGACTGATATTTTTATTTTCTGTTGAAAGTTATTTCTACTCTATTCATTCATGACATGTTTGAGAATAAAACTAATCTCTCATAAAGTCTATTTTACACACACACAAAATCAAAAGACAGCTTTATAAGCTCCAAGTACAACCTTCTGTCACAATATACTGCTTACAGAGCTTAACTATCTAACAAATAATATAAATTTCCATACTAACCTATACTTAAAAAATATGATTTCGTTTTTAATTTGTGTATTTACCTCCTGTTGCAAGTATGTGAGAATAGCTGCTAAAACAAAACTTTGGGAAGCCAAATCCACGACAGAGAAGAACAGGATATCAAAAATGAGCAGTGTTGTCTCGTTGCCATAATAGAGAACA